AAAAATTTTTTTTGCTCGAAAACTATTTTTTCATCAAAATTTAGTGTTCGTTTGGCTTCGTTTTATACGAAAATTGTCCATTAAAGTGAATTTTTTTTTTATACTTGGTTATAAAATTTATTAACATTATAAACAAAAAAAAAAAAAAATTCTTTTTCCCAGAACTTTCATCAATATTGAGGAAAGAAAGCGCGTGGGGGGAAATTATTTTTTTCGCTAAATTTGTCCCATCAAGCACACACTTTGCATGAAAAATGAAAAACTTTTCCTAGTTTTAGGCAAAATAATGACTATCAAACATGACCTTATACATCTTTCTTTTTAACTAGTACAATGCATTTTTGTTGGGATGAGTATTTGTGATTAGACACCTAGCATTTGGTTAATGAAAAATGATATTTGTACACTTTGGAGTGTACACCCTCTTTACATGGAGGGGGCCGTATAATTTATTGTGTGTGGACCATGTGAGTGGGTGTAAACTCAAGTACACCCTTATGTACGTGTGACATATCGTTGATTAAAACATATGTTTCACTATTTATTAATTATTATTTTGTCAATTTTCATATGTGTACGTGATTGAATTAGACGGAATTACTTCCATGAAATTTATTTTGGAAGTATAATTGCTTAATGAACAAACATAAAGTACAATTACGTTTGACTTACATACATCTCATTGACTAATTCATCAAATAGGGAGAAATTATAGCTATTGCAAATGGAATTTACCCAAATTCACAACAATTACCTATTGTGAATTTACCCAAGTTCACGCGACAATGTAAAATAATTAAAAATTTACAAAAATAAATAAATCAGAAGTTCCAAGATGGCTCCACGAAGTCTCAAGCGGCTCTCTTCAAGTTTGATTGTTTGAAGTCGGTTCACAACCAGAATTAAGGGCTTGTATTCGGCTGATGGATCATTCGAACACGAGGCCAAGCCCGTTAGCTCGGGCCCGCTCGATTCCGCAAGGCCGGAATTGTTATCTGCCGTTTCAACTCCGCCACTTCCACTGAACTCCCCCGCCTCACTCTCCAGCACACAACAATATGTACACCGCCATGGATCCTCCTCCACCCAGAAACCCCACCACCGGATCCTCGCCCTCAACATCTGAAATGTCAACGAAAGGTACTGGAATGGGTCCCCCACCTCCAAGAAGCCCTATCCATGCCAAGCCCGAAACGGAAACCGAACCCGAAACCGAAACCCAACTAGAACCCAATTCATTACCATCCCAGCAAGAATCTCAACCAATTTCGACTCAAATCGATGCTGTACAGTCTGCTGAAGATTCTGATTCCTCTGGCAATTCAAAAACTGGGACCGTTATAGGCGTTGAGGAGGAAAAACAAGAACAGCGCAATAATAATACGGCCGCGCCGTACACTATTCCAGAGTGGAGCGGTGCTCCCTGTCATAACTTCTTCATTGAAGTCCTGAAAGATGGCTCCATCATCAATCAATTAGAAATGTTAGTCCTTTCTTCATATCTACTTGTACTGTTCTTTTTTTTTCCCTTGCTTATTTTGGACTTTCTGTTAATGTCTAGCTATACTATTGGAAAGTAGAATTTAAGTTTTTAATAAATTATAACTTCGCCGTTGAAGTTTACCGAGATTTAATTGTCACGCTCTACTCACCTGGGTGTCTTTGTTTGGGTGATCTGTCTCGGTTTGATAATTTTCCAGTGACAAGAAGGGGGCCTATATGTTTGGCCGGGTGGATCTTTGCGACTTTATGCTCGAGCATCCCACCATTTCTCGGTTTCATGCAGGTACAAATTTCTGACTTCTTGTTCTTGTTTATGTTTTATCATGCTGGCTATATGGGCAACAATATCAAAAAGCTGTTTAAATTGCTTGTTTTTTGGGATCAAAGAAGGGACTTCATATCAACATCATCTTTTATGGTATTCTTGGTTGCTAATCACCTATTTATAAAAATGAGTTTTAATTATTATTTCATTACATGGATAAGTGCTTGTTTCCTTTCATTGTAATCTCCTTATAATTTAGATTATAAAAAGTCAAAATCAAACTTTACCCACAATTACTACTTACCTATACACCACTCATTTCTATCATATTATAATTTCAGCAGGTGAAAGTCAAACTTTACCCATAATTATTACTTACCCATTTGGTGTGGAAGCGTTTAGAAATTCTTGTAATAAAAATTGCAAATAAGAACTATATCGGAATAATCTTGCTTTGTATTAATTTATAATTGATTGTGAGGAAAAGTGTACATGTCCCTATATTTATGGGCAAAATTATTCTCCAATCCTATTAATACAAGGAAATCAAAATAAGGAAACTAAATTCTAAAAGGAAATAAATTAATCTTAATCTAAACAAGATTTAAGAATAAAACTTATTACGACTAGAAAAAAAAACTAGAAAAGATGATTAAAAAATACAAACTTCTAGATGAAGTGAATCTATTTATTGTACTCGTGATGTACTACATAGCTATCCACTACTCATTTCTATCATATTATAATTTTAGCAACTTATAAAGCAGCCCAAAGAAGCACTCTCTTTATAAAAGGGTGTGTATTCATTAACAGACTAACTCATTCAAATTTTGTGTTACATTTTAGGATAAATATTGATGATTGTGTTTCCTTTAGCTTATATTCTACCATTTCTTCATATTGTATTGATATTTAGTAATAGACTTACAGGCACAAGTATCCAGTGGTAAGGCAATTGTCTGTATTTCTTTGCCTTGCATGTATCTGAATTCTCTGTGTAGCTCAATGCAGATATTAACTTTATTTTCTCCTTAAATGTCTTACATTTTCTTTTGGATTCTGCTGCACGTTACCAGTTGTTCAGTTCAAGAGCAATGGAGGCGCATATCTCTATGATCTTGGTAGTACACATGGGACATTTATAAACAAGAATCAGGTATTCCTTTTAAAGGGCGACAAGTGCCATCTCCATTCTTAGAATGATTTTTTCTCCATTCAATATGTGGTATGATGATGTTGGTGAATCTTCAGTTCTAGATTAGTTTACTTTATCTATCCTATGGATACTCTCATTTCTAAAGTATTTGACATGACCTGTTCCTGATGATATTGAAGATATTTGAATAGATGGATTCTCATTTGTAAAGTATTTGACATGATCTGTTCCTGATGATATTGAAGATATTTGAATATATGAATTCTAAGTTGAGAGGAGTTACATTCTTACCTGAGGGAATTTGACTAGTGAAATGCCACGTTAGAGAGACTTCTTAAGTGGAGTTTTGATAATTAGGGCCTTAATGGACCAACAGAGCCTAGTGCCTGTAGTGTTCTAAACACAGAGCAAACATCTTTTGTTGACTCAACCAAAGTGTCTTATGGTGTACACCTCTCTGTTTGTCGACCATTTTATTTTTCTTTTGTGAATATTTACTCTCCGGAAAAGAGGAAACCTATCGGCCATCTTTTCTTATAATATTCACTCTTTACTATCGTTCAAACATTCACCACAGTTACAAAATTTACTTGGATTCGTTGTTGGTTCTGAATTCTCAGGTGAAGAAGAGGGTTTACGTGGATTTGCATGTTGGTGATGTGATCCGGTTTGGCCAGTGAGTAACCCCATTAATTTTTAATACATTGTGTTTGTTTTGGTTATACTTTATTTATAAAACTTGTTTATCCATGAGTTGCTCAGTATTAATCTCTCTCTCCACCTTTTCTGAGATCAAATTGAACATAATGAAAATGGATTATCATATCATCAAAAGTTAGTGGGTTAACTTGGGAATGATACTTCAGATAGAATAAATTTGATCTTAATTATTATTATTATTATTATTATCTGCTTTTTAATTGCTTTTGGTCTGTATTGGTGCAGATCATCTCGGTTGTACATATTTCAAGGACCTTCTGACTTGATGCCACCGGTTAGATTCTTTTGTCATCACATCTCCAGTCTCAGATTTCTTTTCCATCTCTCTCTCTCGCTCTCTCGGTTTTTACTGAATGCTTAACTATTGCTGCCTATTCTTTTCTAAGGTTCAATTGACAATTCAGCAAACACTAAGCTAATTAAGGGATCCATTTTGAATTTATGAAGAAACAGTAATAACCTATTTATTGTTTTTACATGTGCAAGTTGATAAGAACACCAGCACTATGGTGCTCTAATGCATTATTGATGCCTCTGCATTCTGAGAATTATTCTTGTGGCTTTGTTTTGAAGGAAGCTGACTTGAAGAGGGTAAGAAATGCTAAGATCCAACAAGACATGAAAGATATGGAGGAATCACTTCTTCGAGCAAAAGTGGAGGCTTCTCTTGCTGATGGGGTTTCATGGGGAATGCGTGAGGATGCTATTGAGGAAAATGAGGTTTGTGTTATTTCCTTTCTCCTCTGAAGCAGCTCTGTTGCTTTTCTGTACTGGACTCGTAACATTTCAGGTATGGGGTTTTTAGTTATATTCGACTCTATAGTAGGTTGAAGAGTCAGAAGATCCAGGGAACGATTTTAAAAAAGCTTTCTCAGTAAGATGTGCTGCTGAATGCTGAGATATAGGATCTAATCCCTTTGTCCTTGTTATGTATTCGTGGATAAATGGGGTAGCTTTCGAATGTTGTAAAAATAATATTAAATCATTTTGAACATGTCATTTTTTAGAGTGAAACAAGCTCGTATACATGCTTGCATATCTTTTGCTTAATTATTTGAAGACATTTCTACATTATCACTTCAAACGAACCTATTCAGTCATCTGGGAAAGGATTTTCCTCAATTCACTTTCCAAATATTTATTTATATGAAGCTATAGATATTGGGTTTTCTCCTTTACTAGTGGACAAAAGGTAGGTTTTCTTGTTTCACAATAACTCCTGTGATTACCTTTTGCATTCCATGGTTAGTAAACTAACTGAACTGGCTCAACCTTTTGGTTTATCTGTTGGATTTTGTTACATTTCTACTGACCTTGTCTTGAATATTTAGGATGAAGTTGATGAGATAACTTGGCAAACTTACAAGGGGCAACTTACAGAGAAGCAGGAAAAAACACGAGAAAAAGTTATAAAAAGACTTGAGAAGGTTAGTGAAAGTTTGTTCTTGGAATACATTTCTATGAACGCAACGCGTTGCTTCTTGTTTTTATCTTATCCTGTTACATATGTCACAGACATACACTTCCATCTAATTATGTTAATTCCCTTCTCTCTTTTTGATGCGTAAATTGAATTTTCACACATTTTTATGGAGGTATTTTTTTTTGGAAAGGTAATCGAGTATTTTATTGATCAATACATAATACACATTAAGTATATTATTGCTTTAAATCAGAAAGTAACAACATGAAATTAGGTAGTCCATCTATATGCCTAGTAGCTTCT